CCTTCGGAATATCGACCTAAAAAGGGCGTAAGGGACGTTATCTCCTGAGATGACCTTCCCCCCTCCCCCCCTACGCCTACTCCTTCCCCTCCCCCGCCTATGACACGCACACGCACCCCGTAAACATTTCCCTTCGATGGCTTGGCGTTGGCATTCCCCTCCCCCCTCCCTTCTCTCCTCCAACGGTCACTCTCTCTCCTCTCTCTTTCTTACTCCGTCATTCTCATTCTCTCACTCTCCCACTCTTTCTCTCTCACTCTCATTATAGATGCATATACGTGCTAACGAGACCAATTGAAATGCAAACAGTCCGACCCAGGTTTAACATTCTCTTCTTCCCCTGCTTCCTCTCTCTCCTCTTTCTTTTCTTCTTCCTCTTCTTCTTTTTCTTCTTCCTCTTCCTCCTTATCGTCCTTCACATCACTGATGTTTCATCCTCTTCTTCCTCTTTTTCTCCTTCTCCCTCTGAGACGTTTGCGGATTTTGTCTCCCTTTCCCTTTACACTTTCCTTCCTGTTTTTTTTTTTTTCTCAACGGCCCCTCTCCCCCCCTTCCTCCTCCTCCTTTAACATAGTCTTATCCTCTTATCTCTTATTTTCCCCTCCTTTCCTCTATCCTTCTATCCCTTCCCTTTACTTTCATTCCCTTCCATCTACCCCTCCCATTCCCTCCTCTTCCTCCTGCACCTCCCTTTCCTTCCTATCTCTTTCCTTCCCTTCCCTCCTTTTCCTCCTGTCCTTTCCTTCCTTCCTCCCTCCCTCCCTTCCTTCCTTCTTTCTTCCCTTCCTCCTTCTTTCTTCCCTTCCCTCCCTCCCTTTCCTCCTTCCTTCCTCTTCCCTTCCTCCTCCTTCCTTCCTTTCTTTCTTTCTTTCTTTCTTTCCTTCCTCCCTTCCCTCCTTCCTCCTTATCTCCCTCCCTCAATTCCTTCCCTCTCCCTTCCGATCCACTTACCCCCAGCCTTCTCTTCCTCTTGCCCCCGCCCCCCCTCCCCCCCCGCTTTTCCTCCTCCCCCTCTTTACGTACTCACTTCATTTAACGTTCCTTCCCTAATTGGGCCTTGTTTAGTCCCGGTGAAAGGCTGCATTATAGACTACATTAGTTGAAAGGGATTTTAACTTCTTTTTTTTTTCTCTCTCTCTCTCTTTTTTTTCTTTTCTTTTCTTTTTATTTCTATCTTTTTTATTCGGAAAGAAGGATGCATGGGGATGGTAGAGAGGGATGTAGGGATGCTGGGGAGAGAGAGAGAGAGAGAGAGAGAGAGAGAGAGAGAGAGAGAGAGAGAGAGAGAGAGAGAGAGAGAGAGAGAGAGAGAGAGAGAGAGAGAGAGAGAGAGAGGGGGGGGGGTAAAGAATAAAGCTAAAAGGGAAAGGAAGGAAGGAAAAGGGAAGGCAGGAATATTGGGAGTAGCGGTGAAGATGGTGATGACGGTGATGGTGGTGGTGATGGTTATGGTGATGATGGCGATAACCGTGGTAGTGGTGGTGGTGGCGGCGACGATGATGGTGTTAGTGATGATGGTGATAGTGATGATGGAAATGACTGTGATGTCACTATGGTAGTGTTGGTGCTACTACTGCTAAAGGTAACGACGATGATAATAACGCCGACATCAGTGACAACGACGACGATGATAGACGCAATTGATGAAGAAGATAATGAAGAGACAGCAAACAATAAGGGAAAGACCGAGAAGAAGAAACTCCTTTCCCGAGTGTTTCTTGAATTTCCAACAGATAACTAACTTTAACCGCCAGTTCGGTGGCCGAGGCCCTCCGGCTAATGCATTCCTTGTACTCTCTCTCTCTCTCTCTCTCTCTCTCTCTCTCTCTCTCTCTCTCTCTCTGTTTGTCTCTCTGTCTGTCTGTCTGTCTGTCTGTCTCTCTCTCCTTCTCTCCTCTCCGTCTTTCTTTCTCCCTTTCTTTTTCTCTCTCTTTCTCTCTCTCTTCCTGCCTGCCTGCCTGTATGTCTGTCTGTCTCTGTCTCTCTCTTTCTCTCCGTTTCTCGTTCTCTCGATCTCTCCGTCTCTCCGTCTTTCTTTCTTTCTTTCTTTCTGTCTGTCTGTCTGTCTGTCTCTCCCCTATATATATCGACATATCTACCTCCCTTTCTCTCTCCTACCCATTTTCCTTTCCTCCTGCCGTCTTTCCCTCTATCTCGTTCTCTTTCCCTTTCTCTCTCCCTCTCGCCCTCTGAACTTCTTTTCCTATTTACATTTCCCCCTCACTCTTATCGTCCATCCCTCTTCCCCTTTCTCTCTGGTTATTCCTTTGTCTGCTTCGTGGACAAGAGAACTTTCCAACGGTGCTATTTCACAAAGGCAACGTCCCACCCCCCCTCCTCCTACCATCCGTTCCTTCCCTCTTCTTCACTCCTTCTCCTATCCCCTTTCCTTTCCTCTGAAATTCTCTCTCTCTCTCTCTCTCTCTCTCTCTCTCTCTCTCTCTCTCTCTCTCTCTCTCTCTCTCTCTCTCTCTCTCTCTCTCTCCCTTTGCTTTTCCTTTCTCTTCTTTCCTTTCCTCTTGTCTTCTCTTTTCTTTTCTCTCTGTTTTTCCTTTCTCCCTTACCTTGCCCATCTCCCTCTCCTTTTTCCGCCTTCCTTCCTTCTTCCCCTATCCCCTTCCTATACTCTCTCCCTTCACCCCCCCCCCTCTCTCTCTTCCCTCTATCCTCCTCCTATTCCCACCTTCCTTCCCTCTCGTCCTCTCCTTTCCCCTCTCCCTTCCGTCCTCCTCTCCTCCTTTTCCTCTCTTCCTTCCTTTTTCCTCCTTCTTTCACTATCCCCTCTGCCACCTTAAAAAAAAGAGAGAAAAAAAGTACCGCCTACTAATTATATCATCATTTTCCCAATTAATGGCCCGCTAAATGGCCAAATAATTAAAACTCATTTTCGGATTTCGCCGGTCTTCAAAACGGTAATGAATGGCTCGGTTTGTTCTCGATCCCGATTACGCATTCCCTCCCTCCCTCCTTCCCTCCCTCCCTCCCACACCTCATCATCCCCTCCTCTCCCGCCTCCCACACCCCATCTTCTCTCTTTCTCCTTCCCTCCCTCCCTCTTTCCCTCCTATCTCCCTTCCTCCCTTCCATCCTCCCTCCTTCCCTCCCTCCCTCCCTTCCACACCGCATCTTCTCTCTCTCTCCTTCTCTCCCTCCCTCCTTCCCTCCTTCCATCCCTCCCACACCCCATCATTCCCTCTCCCCCTGTCCCACACTCTCTCTCTCCTTCCCTCCTATCTCCCTCCCTCCCTCCAATCTCCTTTCTTCCTTCTCTCTCTCCTTCCCTCCCTCCCTCCCTCCCTCCCTCCCTCGCTAACTCCGAATATTCGTTGGGACAAAATAGACTTGTAACTTCAGTCCCGCGAATATCATTTAAAGGAACAAAATAATTCTTACGTAAAAAAAAAAAAAAAAAATAAAAGTGATAAATAACTAAATTAAGAAAAAAAGTATCTTAAAAAAAAAAACTTTCCTTTTCTCGTTTTTCTCTCTCTTTCCGTGTCACTACCTGACGCTATCATCTCTATTTTTGGGCGAAAAATAAAACTTTACTTCATCTTTTTCCTCCCCTGTAAAAACTCTTCTTCCTCTCTGTCTCTTATGAAACCGTTTCCTTTTCGCAAAGTCTCTCTTTTCTCTTCTCCTCTTTCTTCCCTTCTTTTATAAAGGTTTCTCTCCTTTTATATCTCTCTTTCTTCAGAACTCTCTCTCTCTCTCCCTTCCTTCCTTCCTTCTTTCCTTCCTCCCTCTTTCTATATCCATTTCTTCCAAATAACCTCTTCTCTTCTCTCTCTCTTTTCCAAACTATTCTTCTCTCCTTTTGTCTCTCTTTTCATTTTATCTTTCCTTCCTCTTCTCTCCCTTCTCTCTTTTCCTCAATCCTTCCAAACTATCTGCCTCCTCTTCCTTCCTTTCTTTGTTCCTCTGCCTTTTAAACCATCTGTTCCTCTTCATTCTCCCTCTTCCTTCCAACTATCTATCCCTCCATCCCGTCTGTCTGTCTGTCTACCTGTCTGTCTATCTGTCTATGTCTGTCTGTTTATCTATCTATCTATCTATCTATCTATCTATCTATCTATCTATCTATCTGTCTGTCTCTCTCCTTCTCCCTCTCTCATCCTCCCCCACCCACCCACCCACCCTCCCTCCCCCCACCCACCCTCCCTCCCCCCATCCACTCTCCCTCCCTCTCTTTCCAGCCAGGGATTTTCACCCATCAAATGCAACGTTCCCTCCGGCCCGCTACTTAATTGAATAAATAACACACGGCCTAATCATGGCCCATTATTTCACTTGGGGACGGAAGGAGATTGGTAGGTGGTACGTGGTAGGTGGTGGCAGGTGGTAGGTGATGGTAGGGGTAGCTGGTAGTAATAATATGGCAAATGGTAGAAATAGTGGTGGCTGGTGGTAGCTGGTAGTAGTATTAGAGGTATGAGGTGGTGGTAGGTGGAAGCAGGTAGTGGCAGTGGTAATGGTGATGGTGTTGGTGGTGGGCGGTGACAAGTGGTGTGACTAATGACAATACTGATTATTTACAGTAATATAAACAATGATAATAATAATATACAATAATGGTGATATTTACATAACAATGCAATCAATAATCATTGCTACCAACAATAAACTGATAAATCAGTACCACAAAATATTACGACAAAAGATATGCCCATGCCTTATAAAACAAACACACACCTTATCCCATAACAAACATAACAATAACACAAATAAAAACGTTAAAATAACAATACATATATATACACACACACACACACACACACACACACATATATATATATATACATATATATATATATATATATATATATATATATATATATATATATATATATATATATATATATACACACACACACAAACACAAAACAAACGAACCGCGACAAAAACAAAACAAAACCCGACACCAAACCCAAACAAAACAAACAAACAAACGAGCCGGCACCCCAGCCCTTTCCCGGCGCCCGACGAGGAGAAACACTTAC